TCTTTACTATATTCTTATTTTTTCTTTCTTTTCTATTTTTCTTTCTATTTTTTCTTTTTATTCTTTTCTTTTTTGGTTTTTATTAATTTTTATCTTTTTAATTGTAATTTTTCATAAAATTACTACAAAAAAAACCCTCACTCTGTGCTTCGCTCATTTTGCCTGCACAAAGCCTCAGTGGACACCCATTGTATCACAGAGTTTGAGAATTCGTCTGATATATAAATTAAAATTTAATTATTATAATTAAAAGTGCTCTGTTTATTTCTTGCTCAGTCCTAACATGAATGAAACCATTATTTCCACATAGGCAGAAGGTTGTCACTTTGTTATTCCTTGATCTTTATAATGCATTGCATTTCGAGTTCATGATTGTATATATTGTCAGTGACAGCTCAGATTCTCGTGATGTAACATTTTGTAATGTCTTTTTAAACTTTCAGGAAATATTGTAAGAGTTATGAAAACAGACTACCAATGAATGTTATGTCTAAATATAACAAGTGATATTTATAAGTTTCAGATTGCAGTTGGAATTCTCTTAATTAGGATTTTAACCATCTTTTGTTGTTATAGCTCAAGTGTCATCTCAAACAAAATTACCAGAGATTAAGTCCTATGAATATAATAAATTCCGAAGAAGCCTGAACAGGACTATGCTGTCAGCGCGTCAGTGAATTTTGCACAGAAGATGCTCTGATCATAAATTCTGCTTTTACGCTTGTCAACCGATCTCTTTTTTTTTAAAAAAAGAAAAGAACTCACTAAGATATAAAAAGCATAAGGATAAAAGCAAACAAGAACTAATAATGGAGAAGAAAAGTAGAGAGCAAGAAAGTTAGAAATAGAGAAACAATACAAAAGTCATGGCAAATAAAAGGAAGAGAAGAAAAGAAAAGAAATAAAAAAGAATAACTTCTGACTTCTGATACAGCAGATGTAAATGAATCATATAATAAACTCTTACTCTAAAACTATTTCTTGACATACATATTTTGTATAATCTATTAAATTAGTTTAATTTCATTAATTTAACTAATCACTTGTCAACCACTCTCCATACCATTCATTTGTGTGCGTGTGTGTTCACACAGCTGCAGAAATATTGTGAGGAAACTCACACTTCATTCGCTTACACACTCAGCCATCCTCTCTCTGCAGCCCCCTTTGCCAAAGACACAATAAGCCACACATACTCACCAGGCGTGAGGATCCTATGGCAGGATCAGCCATGTGCCCTTGCCTCCCGGTGTCATCCCCAGCCAGCTGTAGTCAGCTCCTCTGCCAGTGTCTCAAAGCTGAAGAAACTCTGGCAACTTCTCACACTTCCTGTCTTCAGCACTGTTTCAGACAGTATACAAGTCAGAAAGGAAGACGTAACCGCAAACTCCAGGGCTCTCACGCTTCAGCTTCGCAGAATTTTCTCTCCCAAGTAATGCTGTCTTCCTTCTGCTTTTAAAAATGTTCTCCACTTTCCTTTGCTGCCTTTCAGGCTAGGCCACTCAAATGATCAGGAAGCTAGTGAAGAAAAAGGGCGGCGTAAAGGGAGTGAGTGAATATGTATATAGCCAGCCTGTCCTACCCTCCTTCCCCTATCAGGGTTAATCTCTCATTCTTCTGTAGAAAAGTTTCACAGACACCTCCCTCCACAGGGTGAGGCTCTGGCCCAGCCTTTAACTACATAGCCTGTTCTTCATAAAATTGTTTATGAGTGCTATAAAGATATACACACTGCATCCTGGCTACTCCAATTGTTTGCCAGGTGCTGGTTTTACCCCTAGCTTTTGTACCAGTGAGCTGCTAGCAGGCCAATTAGCTTTCCAGGCAAGGGTGGGGTCTCTGTAATTACCCACCTGGTGATTACAAGTTCGAAAAAAGTGAGAGGGTAGGTGCTCAATGTTTTTGTAGAGTTAAGCTATTTAGTGGAAACTTCAACTAGAGTCTGAAGATTCTCAGAAGTCTTGCTCAAACAGAGGAACTAACTTCATAGCAATGATTCCTGAGCCCTGGTTGTTTGAGATCCTTCCACTAAGAAAGAAAGAAACAGCATGCCATAACGCAGAGGTGTTCAGATGTTCTACCTTTAGGAAGCAGTGATTTATAGCAAAAGAGCCAAATTACTTCCTCCCCACCCCATAGCAAAGCTCTTATCATTCTACTTCCCCTCCAGCCTGTATTCCATGCTGGAGATGGGGAGCAAAAACTTGGCTCTTACGTGGGAATTGGGGGACAATTGGTTGAAAAAGGAAAGTAAAGCTAAATTCCCATCTTCTACAAGAATCTGGAGCTAATCACCGCCTCCCAAGCTGGTTGTGACTTCCAAAATTGTCTCTACAGTTGAGATTTCAGGATATAAGATGAAACAGAACCATAATTCTATCTTAGCAACTGTGGCATGAAGTTGTTTTGGTTCTTCATGGGCTGGAGCCACCTGTATTTCCATGTTTATCTATCTTTGTACTAATTTTCATTCAGCACATATTCCAGCTTGGGAGATGGTGATTAGCAGGAAAAAAAAGCTCCAGATTCTCATAGAAGACCAGAATTTAGCTTTACCCAATGGTTCCTCTTTCAACCAGTTGTCCTCCAGCTATTCCATCCATGTCCCAGAAATGTACACTCAGGTATTAGTCCATTTCCCAACATCTCCATGTGCAGCTGTGTTGTGTTCAGAGGTCCCTTCATACTGACAGAGGTCATCGGTACCTGCTTTGTTCATCTAATCTGAGGTGAAGTATACGTGCATATCCAGGGCATGAAATCCTAGCCCAGATAGCTTAACAGAACTGCCAAGTGTTAGAAGCCAAATGTCAGATAGATGTGACCATGGATATAGTGTAAGCATTTGAAGTCTCTGCTAGATCCAAAGCCCAGGGCAATCTGGAATTCCAAAGAGCAAAGCTCACCCTACCAATTAAAAGGGAGGAAGTGAAGAACAATGATCCCAGAAGCCTGTTCAGCAACTGCTCCACCAGTTGTCTTGTAGGAAAGATGCTAGACGTTTGTTGCTTGTTTTTAAATAATATGTATTGTCTTCTTACACACATGTTATTATTTATTTCTTCCATTTATATGGCTATCCATCTCACAGTAGCAACTCTAGGCAGCTTACAACATTTCAGAACAATACAAAACATAGATTAGCCCAGCAAGGTAGACCAGACAAGAAGCACAACCAGGAGTACCAGCTCGATCTTTATAGTAGGGTTGCATTAAGAGAATCTTGCAAGACTGAAAGTATTTCTCCCCTCCTTTACTTTTACTCTCCAGAAAACCAGGAGGGTCCCTTCTTGAAACGCTCCCCATGCCATCCCCCCTTCTGTGGGCTGAGACATCTTTTACATGCCTGTTGACCCTTCTGTCTCCAAGGTCATTCCCACATAACATTAAAACATAATATGAAACACAGCAAGACATACAGCAACAGAGATATTGTTTGTAAGCCATTGTTCCCCTGAAAAGGAAGAAAAGTAAGATTCTAATAAATAAACATAGCATTTTAAGATAGCTGTCTTGGACTGGAGAGGTGCTAAATGATAGCAAAAGTCACAAGGACAGAGCTGTGAGTCTTCTACATGGCTTGACCCTGTTTTTCCTAACCTAGCCTCTGCTCTCAAATATAGTGGAGGCCACAGTCCTATTGCCACAGAGTCAGCTGCTAGTCCTATAAGGGGTATGGGGAAAATACCTTGGGTCATGGTTGTCAATTAGGTAGACACCCTGCAGTAGGTGAGTAATATCTTGTTGTCCAATGATCTAGTGAATGAGTTGAAAGGAGGTCTCAAGGACATGTAGGACACTGACACATCACTGTGTCCCATTTCCCATCCCTTCCAAAGTTGAAGCAATTTACTAATTACCCTGATGGCTCCAGAACACTGACAACACAAGGTGCCAATTTGTGTTGTCTGTCTAACCGACCAATAAAAGCCTAGCTAGAAAAGGTTATTCAGTCAATATCCTGCCCAAGCTACTGCTGGCCCAGGGGCAACAATGCACCCTCACCTCTACACAAAAAGGAAATGGAATAAATAGTGCCAGACATCCGTTCAGTTTTCAATACAATGCGTCAAGTTGTTCTCAAATGTTTGAACAGTCAGCTCTCATGTAGCACAAAAGTTGTGTTCCTAGAAACCCTCCTGTGTTGCGAAATCATACAGTATTAATAACAGGACTTTGGGAGGGAAATAGGGTTAGCAGCAGTCACTCAAAAATGAAAACACATTTGCAACCAAAGCCTTACCAAACACAATAAAACAGCCCAATACAGTATTTACACAGTTGAGGGAGGCACATCTTCAGGATTTTCAGATTTTCTCCGAGGTCTTCATGTATTGCTAATACGAGGTCTTCATGTATTGCTAATACTTCCTGTTTTATTATGCAGCAACTTCCTCAATTTCCTCTTTGCATGATCATCAGTCCAAACTCTTAATAGATGCTCCATCTCTTCCCATTCTTTCTGATGTGTCCTAATAGACTTTGTAGCACTCTACTTGTTCCTCCTAAAATGTTGCTGGTATTTTCTCAGCATTTTTTCCCCTTGTCCATAACATTGTCTCAGTAGCATGCATGATGTTACATGCTCTTTCAGGTTTTCTTCAAAATGTTTGAGAATTTCAACTTAATCGACAAAGCCTTTCCTTTCCTTTCTCCACCTGAAATTTTAACACCAGCATGCTTCTTTGGTACATTCTTTTCAATTCGTTTACTATTTTGGGAGGGGAAAGCACCCCTAAGCAGTCATAACACCAGGGGTATCCTCAGAAAGGGAATTTTAAAAAGTTAAGACAATGATCATGTGATTGTAGCCCCACCCTTTTTAAACTTGTGTCACATTGCAGATTGAAAAGGGGCAGGCCTTTGATCACAGGTTTGTGGTCACCATCTTAACTTTTTTTACCTCTCCCATGGACACCCCTGAATAACACCAAAAAATGAGACGAGAGATACAATAGATATTAACAAAGAAGTGCATGGGTAGCTAACTGAGTCGAGGGAGCAGTAAACAAAGTACAGTAGCAATCTGTTAATGTTCAATTGGGTAGCCCTTGCAGCATTCATCTGCCATGTCTCATTAGTGCAAAACTGAAACTCAGGAAAATCATACATAAGCAAATATGCTTTCTGCTTTACAGACATCGCCCCTCTATTTATTAATCATGCATAGATGAATTCATGTTGTATAAACACATGTTATAAGAGAACTGACTGTAATAGGATGACGCTGTCAGGCCACCAAGCCATAATTCCACTGGTATTAAAAAGCCCATGGAATGGCATAACTTCACATCGTCCACACAATGAAGCACATGATTACAGACTACTGTGGAGGTTGAGGAACTTCTAAATAAATTACATAGTTTTTAGGCCACTGGAATTTGTTGTGGAATACTGCCATTATTTCTACTCGCCTGGGATAATCAAAAATCCCTTCACTCCACCCAAGGGGAAAGAGGATGCCAAGAAAAGAGGAAAAAGGAGGAAAAAGGAGCGACATGCAGCATGGGTTGCACATTGCTCCTCCCGGGGAAGCCAAAGGAGAAACTGACAGAACTCTTGTCAATTTCATGTTTGAAATTCCCCTTAAAGGACCTGCAGTGGAACAGGGGGAGGGCTGAAGCTGAGGAGCCAATAGAACAGGGGAGACAAGAGTTTCTTCCTGTGGGGAAGAGGATGCCCACAGACTGTTGCAAATGGGTTGATTGATTGCAATTTGGGTTCAATAAGCTGAGCTGACAATAAAATTAGCTCAGCTTGCAAAATCAACTGATGTCACAGGAGCACACAGGTCCAGAGTTGCTTCTGAACTTGCACAGAGTCACTGAGTCTTTCCCTCACCTGCACTTAACCTTAGCACAGACATGCCCTGGCAATATCTTTTTTGTGCTATATCCTCCAAGATATCACCTTCAACGTATAGCCCATGGGTGTGAAAGGCTTAAGTCATCCTTAGTTGTACTAGTACAGTATTAATGTTGTCTTTCCCCTTTATTCTGACACTGCCTAAGAACAGTCCCAAAGTCTGTTAGGCTTCACCTTGATGGAAAGTCAGATGACTGCACAGACTGGGAACAGAGGCAACAGAGGCAAGATATAGCCTGGCAACGGGGACAGCCAATTTCATGCCAGCATAGTTTTCTGCTGACTCAAGGATGGGTGGAGAGCCTTCAGCTTAGCAATGGGGAAAGGCTTCTTGGGTGGAAATGCTTGTAGACATTCAGCCCATGCCTGAGGAGCATGGTCCTACTCTTTCGTGCATTTTGAAAGATCAAAAATATCCTTTTGTTCTAGTTCGAGTGAGAACAAGAATCCTTCCTGAGAAGCTTTGCAATCATTACCCATTTGCCTTTTCCTCAAAATTCTGCCAGTGCTTTCCCTAAATTTTAAGAATCATGAAAATCACTAGATAAAATCCCATGGCAATTTTCTTGAGATGTCTCCTGCAAATCAAAGGTATCTCAGTTGAGCATACAGATCTATGAGCAATTTGAGAGGACGAGTGGTCATAATGGTTCCCAGAATTCTTTCTGAATATTAAATACAGACAGAGAAAGTTACAGCAGGATATGGAAAGAAGTCTCATCTTTCAAACTGGAGTGTATTCACAGGGAGCACTGGTAAAAACAGAATAATCTGATAACCTAATTTTAAAAGAATTTCTCAGAAAATGCTTTCTCTTGTTGTGATTAATCCCGTTATTTTATGTCTTTGTAGTGGATGTCGCTCATTCAA